GATTGACGAGATGTAATGGTCATCATTACGAAAACATTTGCTAGAGAACTGTTGATATCATGTCCTTCTTTGAATTACAAATTGACATTAAAATATGATTGAAAAGCAACGATTGGATCCATCGATCTTTCCCGTGGACAACCCCCCCCAACCCTTTTATGAATTCCCCACCAAATAAAAGACACTAATCAAACAAGGATAGAGAAAGGATCCGTTAAATCCACAAGGTTAGGACTTGGTTTTTAGTACAATTGTTGGTACGTTTTTGTTTTAGTTCTATAATCTTAATTATCCCTTTATGACGAAATTGCCACTTGAACCAATCCGCGAGATTAGTCAGACCAAACTTACATAACATGCAAATAACTTAAAGTTACCATAATGCTATTTGTCACGGAATTTTTTTTATAAAACAGAACTACAAATAATGTGGCAGTTGCATAACCCACTTCTTAGTTAATTTCTCACCTACCATAATGCAACGCGGTTAAAGAAAAACAAATTATTTAACAAATTATAGCATGCCAAGTTATTCACAGATAATTTCATAAACGCATTCAGTAAGAACTAGCTTTTTTAAAGTTAACTACAATTGTTATTTTTTTGCCATCTCTTAACCCCGTAGCCTCAAAAGCAGAAACAAAAAAGTTGCTTTAATATTAGTCACAAATTAAAGGAAATTAGAAGACAAGTGTAATAATCTTGTATCAATTTTAATTTTCTCACTAATCTCGCCTAAGAAAGTTGAATTAGATAGCTTTCCAATTTGATGAGTTCGAATGTCGTAAAACAAGTAGGCCTAATATCCAAATTAATTAAAAATACAAATATAATAATAGTATGAATTAGTCAATATGGCCGTAATGCCACAAGAGAAAACTTGCCCACCAACTAAGACTATTTTGCTCTCCACATCCTGCATTGGGCATATTGCACATTTCCCTCATGTAATCTCAAAAAATACTTAGAACATTGAAAGAAACAAACTAGAGATAAGAGAAAAAAGAAAAAGAGAATTAAAGCGAAGCGAAGACGATAAGACATGAATCCACTTTTAAGTGTTTACTTATTCAAAAGCTTTTGAAGTTTGAAGCAGCTTTTTCTTTGGTCGGTTGAGACAGAAAGCGAGTGTCACTGGTATGAGAGTCAAAGGCTAGCCATACGCCCATACCCTTAAAATTAAAATATACAGGCATGCATGCCCATGTTTTTTTGGACACGTACATTGAGATCTACAAATCTGAACCCTTATGTGCAACGACGAATACGACTTCTTCGTGTACATACCTTTTGTGCAAAGTCAATCAATTTTTTGTTGACGTGAATGTGACGAACAGCTTACATGGCTTCGCTACTGCAATCATGAGTAGCAACCCAGAATTAGGGACCCTCAAAATCAAATCGTGTGAGTAGGACAAAGTCTAAGCAAAGATGGTGACTTGGCAACTTACTATGGCCATTTAATGCAAAACATTGCTTGAAAGGTATTATGTGGTTGAAAATTTGCAGTTGACCAAAACATATTTAACTTTCCTGCATGGATAATTATTGGAAGTTCCAAACTGTGATATGATTATGAATCATGAATTCATGATGCATATATACAATGCCATCAGATGTTTGGTGGTTCTAGCACACCTAAATGATTGTGTTGTTTCAAATTTCATACGTTTTTTAACATATATAAAATTAATTAGTACTTACTTAATAAATAAGTCAGTCTCTAACTATTTCTGTTTTTCTTAAAACCTTTTATCTTGATTTCTTACTGAGACAAAATTTGATCCAAAATTTTAATGTCTGGTAATGTTTTTTTTTTTGTTTTTTTTTTAGTATAGGACCTCAAGACAACACAACTCATCAAGAAAGGTCATCCCTAAGCAAACTACCATAACTAGGAGGAGGTTGAATAAGGATTAATTAACACACAATGAATTAAAATTAAATTCAGCAAAAATAAAATAAAAAAGGTACGTAGTAGCTAGAAATCGCATATTACTTCTGGCTTTTGTGTTTTAAAGCAAAATGGAGTCGGAAGAGAGAAACAAAGCTAGTCGGCATGCTCCCCAATTGAACGCATGTGGCAGAAGAAACCATGTATAGCCAATTCAACATTATATCGAGACGTGTGCATGTTGGAGAACAATTCCAGACACAAAAAGGACATGAAAAAGTATATGAAGACAATGGGGTGTTGGACTTCTTGTTTGCTTATGAGTAGTCCTTTTTGTTGCGATCAAATTAAGGCACATGCAAAATTCATGCCTGGAATGCGCCTTCTAAAGACTGAATTCTGGATCGACAAACTTTAGTACTCATGGAATAGCATTGAAAGGAAATTCAGTGGGCGTTTGGAGAAATTTTATTTTATCAGGAAAAAATAATTTTCGAGAATATAATAGGAATTTTTTTTTTTTGGGTAAGTTGTTAAAAGATGTTTGGTAGACCAAACTTTTTTCGGGAATGTTGCGTGTTAATTTTTCCACATGCGAAAAAAACAATTACACCCCTTCAATGATAATCTTCCCCAACTATTAAATTTGCTTATACATAACCGAAATGGGTCCCTCAAAAACCCTTTTGTGTTTGGAGAAATTCAAAATGAAATTATTTAATTAAAATAGTATAAGCAAATCCTCCCTTGAATGGTAATCCACATTAATCCACATTATGTATAAGCAAATTTAACGGAAAGGGTATTTACTCTTATTTCAATTTATTTTCAGATAATGTAAAAGCTTGAAGTTTAATTATGTATCAATAATTAAATTTTTTTAATGTACTTTAGTATCGATCGAATATATTAAGTTGGGGATTTACAGCCAAATAAAATTAGTTTAAGAGTTATTATAATTAATGACTTGTTTAATACAGTTAATAAAACAATTTATTGAACATTATTTCATTTGAAACTAGAATATGAACTTAATAACAATTTTTGTTGTTGTAAAATATGGGTGGTGATGCACTTTGGATAAAAATAAGTCATGAAACATCGAATCTAATCAATCTAGCTGACGGTTGAATTAAAAGTTCTAACAACATAAATTAAGTTCAAGTTTTTTCAATTTAGTTAAAATTAATTAGTACTTTATTAATAATTATTTTATCTTAATACACACTTAAGAACAAATAAATGTAAATTATTAAATTATATACTTAATAAATTTTGAATTTATATCAAATCTGACAACATACAATAATCATAATAGTAATCTATAACTAAACAATCAAAGTAATTAAATTTGTATTTTATAATAAGTTAATTTATGATATTTCGTATCCAATAAAATCTTACACCAAATCGCAATTCCTGCCCTGCAGCCCGCAGACTGCAACAAGTACTTTTTCCACTCAATCATGAGTCATGTGCATATTATTGCAGGCCACTCAATTGCTTTATAATGCATCAAAAACTGGGCATGTGTTTCAATTTAGGAAAGCCGTTCCCGGTTCAAACTCCGTAATTACTTGAAACCCACGAACCGGGTTCACTCCTTCATTATTGAATTCCACGTGTCTCGAATGCTGACGCAATTAATATTAGTTATCCATTTATTAATTGTAACGCTACCTTTAAAAAAATGAAAAACAGCACAGGAAGCATGGTGTGGATTCCGATGCAAAGTAACGTATGGGCCCACACATTTCAGAGTCACCGATGAAGAAGGGACACGTGCCCCTACATTTTCAGTCAACGCCCTCTCCTAATCTAGTTATCCATAATCTCCATGCAAATCATAATTCACTATATTTTTTCTTTTATTATAAGTACGTGAAAAGACAGCTATCCATTACAGGTGTCTCGGACACGTGTCAACCCCATGTGCTCCGGCATCCCTTCGCGCGTAACCTCGCCGGCATCTTAGACTCACTGTCTAGATATCTGAAACCTGATCTTGGATTCCTCATCATTGTTAGATTTGCTCTCTCACACCACCCACTTTATTTAGATGGTTCTATTTTTTTTACATAACTCTCTTCTATCATAGACATATGATGTAGTGAGATCCACACCATCTATAAAATAAGAAAAAAAAAGTGATGACACAATTTTATTTTATATGAGAGGAAGATGAGATAGTTATCTCATGTAAAAAGAAACAATAATTTTCTACTTTAATTTTTATATTTTTTCCGTTCTACTTTTTGGGTAATAATTTCTAATTTAAGAAAGACTAATTAAATATTATATACACTTAGTAAACATATAGTAGATTGAGAAAGAAATATAAAACAGGTAAGCAGTTGTTCTAATACCTTGAGGCCATTTTTTTATAGATATCAGAAACCTAATCTTGGATTCCTCATCATTGTTAGATTTGCTCTCTGACACCACCCACTTTACTTCAATTTTTATATTTTTTCCGTTCTACATTTTGGGTAACAATTTCTAATTTAAGAAAGACTAATTAAATGTTATATACACTCAGTAAACATATAGTAGATTGAGAAAGAAATATACAACAGGTAAGCAGTTGTTCTAATACCTAGAGAATATTGAATAAAATGTTAACATCGTGGGAAGCGTGCAGCTGTATTTTAGAAATTTAAACATTAATGCCATTGCTCTTTAGATTTTTCTATATTTTTTCTATATTTTTGCCTAGGAACAAAATTTATACATTATTAATTTTGGCTTTTCTATTTTATATGTGTTGATTTCTATTTTTGTAAAATACAGTCATGCATTGGAGTGAAGTACTTGGTTTTTGTCTAGCGTTTTTTCTTTCTTTCTTTTTTTAGTAATGCGATTGATAGTGGGTTGCTAAAAGCAGAGCGTGCACAGTGGCATAGCAATAATAGAAACTTTGGATAAAATAAAAAAATAGATTAGGACCATGCTACTTCCTAATAAAGGCAAAGCTCAATTAAGAAATTTAAACTATCAATCAATAATACAAATTTAGAAAATATTACAAGTATCAACACCACGGATCCATGGTTTATCTAGATAGTAGATATATCATAGAAAAACCAATGGAGGCAATGATCTACCTTTTGGTTGATTTGATCGTTGATGATCGATCTAATCACATTACACGAACTCATTCACATATAAAATATCTGAGATTTCAAATTGCAGTTTGTTACTACTGTCATAGCTTTCTCTCTCATCTTCAGTACTGTTGCTCCCATTGATATACGCGGAGTTCGAATTCAACGGTGTGGGGCTTGACGAAGGTGTCGATAGAACTGAAGTGAAGCCGAAGTTCTGGTTGCTGTTATTGGAATGGAAGGTTGAAGTTTCGGACAATGGAGGATACATGAGATTTTGATTATCAGAATCATAAAAATTATTATTATAGCTTGATAACTGAGGGATATAGTCATCTGTTAATAAGGTGCTTAAATCAATTCCATTTTTGTGCCAATCACTTGGCTGAAAATGGTGTTGGTAACTAAAGTCGGTGAAACTAGAAGGATATGGCTCCTCCGCATTGGGTTCAACCATTAATTGTGGTTGCGTTAGAGGCATTAATGAAGCGGAAGGGTCACTCAATGTTGTGGAACCTGCTGTTTGTTGAAGTGGGTCTTGATGAAATTGGGCATAGTGTGGAATTGGATTCTGAATTTGGGGATTGCAGAGTTGGTTCTGTTGATCATTTTGCTGTGAGGAGATGAGTGAGGAAGCCAACTTTAGAAGCTCTGGATTCACCAAAGACTGCATGCCAAGGAGCCTTTGGATGTTGATTTGTGATGAACCATAGAGAGATGAGCTTAGAATGGAAGATAGGTCCAATAGGTTAAGTCGTGGACTGTGTGTCACAGGATCAATTCCCATCCTCAGAAGCCTTTTTCTAATGTGGGTGTTCCAATAGTTTTTGATTTCATTGTCTGTTCTTCCTGGTAAGCGAGATGCAATCGCAGACCACCTAGACAATTAATATCCAATAACACATACCTTTCTATTAGGACTCAATTCAATAATAATTTAATTGACTTAATTAAACTATATAAATATATGTGTGTCTTATTTGAATTGACTAATTAAAAAAAGGCTCACTTGTTGCCAATAATGCTATGCAGCTGAATTATTGTCTCCTCCTCTTCAAATGAAAACCGACCTCGCTTTATATCTGGTCGGAGATAGTTTGTCCACCGGAGACGGCAACTCTTTCCACATCTTTGCAACCCTATGATCAATGAAAAGTTAATAACCAAAACCCATTAGTTCAAATATATATATATATACATACCAAAAAAATAACCTTTTTTATTTTTTTATATATATTTAATTTTGTTTTGGTGGAAAAAAGAGACATACCAGCATTCTGTGGGAGTGTCCTCCAGTTGCCACATCCATGTTTCTGAATGTAATCAATGAGTTTCTGGTCCTCCTCGGTTGTCCATGGCCCTTTCTTGAGGCCATTCTTGTCACAACAAGGTGCTCTCCCCATAGCAGTACTGCTAAGTGCTAAACTAGGTAGCTCTGTTTGATAAGCTAAAGATTTAAACTTTGTTGAGCTAATTAAGCTAATTTGCTCGATGAGTTTGCTTGATGCTGACGAGAGGTCGAGGAGAAATTTTGGAGACGTGAGAGAATAGATAAAGAAATTAAAGAGGGAGAGGAAAATGGTGTTGTAATTGTAGGGTCCGTAATGGGACGTAATTGCTTGTGGAGTTGTGGTATAAATAGCAAGAAGCTCAAGGTTAAGAAACAAAGCAAGTCAAATGGATTCGGTGCCGTCCTCTGTTATCTTTGTGCCCTGTGGCTACGTGTCTTCTCTAATCTCATTATTTTTTTCTCTATCTATCCATGCATATATGCATCTCTCTAATTTTGGTTTGCTAATTAATTACATATCTAAAATATTGAGTTAACCTATTGTTATTGTAGAAAAATCTTTAAATTACATCACTGTGGTCATTGAATTTACCAGTGTTTGATGTTAAAATTTTGAATTTAAGTGACACAGTTAAAACATTATTAGTGTAGTTAATATTAACATATACTGATATTTTGACATATAAAAAATTAATTAATAATAAATATTGATGTGAAATTATTTTATATATTAATTAATAATTCATATATATTAAATTCATGAAAAAAATTGTAAGATTATCAAGGAGTGAATGCATCATTTCCGGAGTGTGATCCCCCAACTTTCTGGATTCATATTAGCTGTAATCATTGTCTGGTGCCACGTACCCTGTGTGTACGTACGAGGGCATGTTACACGGACAACACGGCGTTTTATTTTCTTGCTTTATGCGTGGGCGTGGCATTTGTTTTCTTTCTTTTGGCGAAAGCCTTTACGTTGTATGGCTAGCAGATCTGTGAAGTGTACATATATTTTAAAGAGGGAGATTGGTAATACATTATCTACATAATCATCATTAAATTACTATTTTGTCTCTCTTAATTTTTTTTTCTAACGTTCTTTCTCTTTGTTTTAATAGTGATCATGGAAGTAGTAGATTGGTAATAAATTTTTTTTTAGGCAAAATATCCCTACTCAATTTTATATTAGAATAGGCCTGTCAGTGGTGGAGCCACACTTTAATTTGACCTCGGGTCAAAAAATTATATTTTTATATTTTTTATTTAATTTTAATTAGTTCATATTATAATATATTTAAATTATATTAAATACAGATGCACTTGAGCAGATAATACCAAGAAAAGTTATAATTTTATTAAATATTTTATATTTTTACTAAAAATATATTATTATTTTTTATATCAGTAAAAATTCAATACATAACTTAATACACCTCACTCAAATCTCTTATCGAATATATTTTAATTTTTACATATGACCAAATTATAAATTGTAGCCCGGATCAAATTATAAGTAATTATTTAATTATATATAATAAATATAATTTGTTAAAATTTATCCGGATCGAAGTCATCTTAATATCTATGGGGCTCCGCCACTGGGGATAAGTCAATTTATATTGATATAAAAATAATAAATTTTATACTTAATTTTAATCATTAATCTTTGTCCATCAAATAATTATAATTAATTGAATTATTCTTACTATTTAATTTTTAAAAAATTATAACTATCAAATATAAAAAATTAATAATAAAAATTAAGTATATAATTTATTATTCTTTTACTAATAAAAAATCACTGTGTCCTTTTATATTAGTGTTTTATTGACCCACACTCATCTCTAGCTGCAGATCAAGCAGGCTTGGGATATCTACACAAATATAACGTCAAAATTGCGCTTTATGTGAATTGAAAAGACATGTTTACCCCTGTTCATCCAGGTATTTACTGTACAATTTGTATTATGTCGGAAAAGGCATATTGATAATCCACTCTTACATAATAAATTAAAACTTACTTTTAAAATTAAAATAGTTTTTGTATGTATTTTTATTTTTATGCGATTAAGAGTTTTTTAATTTTGTAATACATGTTTTTATAGTTTTTTATATAAATTAAATTAATATATTGTTCAATTATAGTTATTCTTTCAGATGAATTTTTAATTTTTTTTAATAATCATATTTCTTCAATCAACACTAAATAAAGTGAAATATTTATAATTCACCAATAAAATAAATTTAAATCAATTAAATTAACTTTTGAAATTTCTTAAAACTAAGCTTCAAATTAAATGTCTATATGTTTTATAATTTAAATTTTATTACCAATGAAATAATATTTTATCAAATTAATTTATTTTTGTTTTGAATAATTTTTTATTATTCTTATATTTAAAAATATATGTATAATACCAAAAAAATTTATTAGTCATAAGTATAGAAGTCACTATCTTATATGTGTGTACCTAATAAATGCACAGAAGATTCAGGATGAGCATTTAATACACTGGGGCAATAATAGAGTTCGGTGTTTGCCGAAATATGAAATATATTTAAATTACGAACATTTATTACGTATGATGGGGGATAAGGTTTATTTTTTAAATTTTATTGAAAAGAGATTTTATTATTTTCTTAACATTTCTTTTTTGGATAGAATAGTGACACTGAGATTATAATCTCACTCAGATTATCTAAATCTCTCACCACTAAATTAATTCTAATGACTTATTTGGTAATAAATTCTAATTGGTAAACATATTTCTTATGTCACTGCATATGAGAAATTTTATAGCAACAAATAGAAAGTTAATTTTTTTTTTTTTTAAATATCAGGATTTACACGTGAATCCTGATATAAATATATTTGTTTCAAAATTTCTCATCTATTGTCTATGCAGAAGTGAGAAACACTTTCTAATTATATGTTAAAGTGAACTCAAAACTGTATTGACTTTGCCCAAAATAATACGAGTGCTTCAAACTAATAATGTCATTTCAATTTCTTAATAGACTAAATGATTTTTCCATGCAACTTAAGTCACACGTTACTTTTTCTTAAAAGGCAAGTCATCTTTGACTGTATGGGGTGAAATTTTCATCCCATAAGGACTGAAATTACAACCTAAGTAGGGCTTAATTTTAAAAAATAATAAGTAGCAAAAGCCACACCTTTCTAAAGTAAAAACATGATTATTCGTTGTTAATAACTTAAGTACCTTGTAGCATCTTATCACGTAATAAAATAAGTATTTGGTCTTTTTTTGTAATAAGTTAACTAGTTTGTCTTTAAGTAATGTAATTGTAGATTATACACCTTCGTCTCAGAATACAGAGTTAGCTATACAAACAAATTACAAGTCAAAGATGTGATACTCATATACTTCCCATATTATATGTTGATATAAATGAGTGTTACAGAAAAGGAAAGCGAAATACAAATCGTGAATCCATAATGCCCGACATCGAAAAGTATAAAATGATGTGTCCACTGAGACAGACATCCTAATCTCATTGGATGTTATGCATATATGCACCTAAACCTTTCATATATCTTCTTAATTTATGTTCTTTTCAATAGATAATTCTATTTTTTTATGTGATTTTAATTCATTTCTCTTTCGAAGAAAGTGTATATTTATATCGGATGTTTGAAATTATGGTCTTGTTTGAAGACTTGGGTTTCTCTATTTTTTGTTAAATAAACAAATATAAAAGGTTTTGGAAGCACCCCTTCTCCGTCAATGTTGCTATATGAGTCCATAATATTATATTCAATTTTTTAAATGAATGTTAATGCCAAGTTTATCCCTTAAAATCTTAAATTGTATTTCACTCCATGGGCTTCAAGTAAGAGTTTCCCATTGCCCACGCTGGTGAATTTCAAGGTTAACTAAAGCATTAAGTTTTTGTCAAACAAGAGACCTAAAATATATTTGACTACGTGTTTTTTTACTAATGAAATAAATTTCCATAACAAGAGACAGCAACGACCATTGGCAAACAAAGCATTAAGAAATGCACCGAGAAGAAATATAAAATAAACTCAATATCGAGAGAAAAATTAACAGATTTGGCTATGGAGTAAAAATATTTGTATGTAAAGCTGACTAATTCCGTTTATTATTTTTTATTAAACTTTGACACGGTACAATTATGTAGTTTTGGTGGTTGTAGCTTGTATAAATAATATTATTTCATAAGATACTATCAATGTTTGCATGCATAACAATCATTCATGTTACTGTTTGTGGAGAGATCTGATTCGTTTGCTTTCTATTATAAGATATAATTAATCAATCAGACTACTAATTAAGAACTTGCCAGAAACGTCTCCTGATATAATAATGTTGTTCAGATCTTCATTTCCAAAAGTAGAGACAATACTTCACTGGATTAACATAATTTATCACTTCGTTCGATTCACAAAGTGCCACGAGACCAAGTCTAACGCCTAATGTCTGCTGAATTGGAAGTGGGGTTTTTATTTTTGTTATTCTTATTATTATTTTTAAAACAAATCTTCATATCCTTGACGTATGTTGTGAGTCTATTATTTTGTTTGTTTATATATATGTATTGCTAATTAATTTTTCATTATAATGGTCAAGTACCTTCCATTTGGATATTGATGTTTGTTTTTTAATATACTTTTCAAAATTCATGCATTGAAATAATGGTAAGATGTAAAATTACTATTGGTTACTTTGGAGACATTGTCTTAAAAGGGTCTCACCCAACTTTGTCCAATGCACAAAAGATATGAAGTCAAACATTAATTTAATCATGTACTGAGATTTCCTCCCTGGATTTGTTGTCTTTTCTTTAACATTTCTTCTTAGCCACCGTTTATTTAAACCTAACTCTAATCTTTTTTTATTAACATTTCGTTAAGTTCTTCCTTTAATTTTTCGATAGTGTGATAGCCATTGTTAAATTATGCAAGTTGATGGATTCAAACCCAACTTTCTACTTAATTTACAAAAATAAAATAAAATCATGATGTGTGGCTTATTTAATTTTTCCGTGCTTGATATCCTAAAGACACTGCCACGAGTTATGCAATTAGGAATCATCATGTGTAGCTTATAGCGTAGATTATTGCATACATTTAATTTATCTCCAAACGAGAAGTCTTTTTTGCTTCCCTTATTACCTAAAGAGTAATTATTTATCCCAATTATAGGGTTTTTTTAGTTCATAATCATCCACACGAAGTTGTCCACGTTTAGTCAACAGGCATTAATTAGTGTGTACAAATTTGGTAGACTGTATAAGCATTTGTTAATGTTTGTTGT